CCCAACACCCTTGCCCACCATCTGCCCCGAGGTGCATGTGCACCTGCTGCCAGCACCTGTCACCTGCTTCGAGCTCTGTGACAGGTGGCAGGGGCCAACCCAGAGCCCGGGCTGGCTGTGGTAGGCAGCCAGGAGGCTGCAAGCAGCTGAACTAAGGTCTGTGGAGCCCCAGCCCGGCTCATTGCTGACAGCGGGTGCATGTGCACCTCAAGGTGGATGGCAGCGAAGAGTCCAGGGCTGCACTGCCACAACAAGGATTGGGCCCCTTGCAGCTCCCCCACCATTGGCCCCAGGTGCTCTTGCACCCGCCACCAGCAGCAAGCTGAGCCGGGGCTCTGCAGACCTCAGCGTAGCAGCTTGCAGCCTTCTGGCTGCCTGCCACAGCTGGCTGGGCTCTGCCATGGAACCTGGGCTGCTTGCAGCAGGTGGCAGGGAGGCTGCAAGCCACTGCATCAGGGTCTGCAGAGCCTCGGCCTGGCTCATTGCTGGCAGCAGGTGTACACGTGCCTCTGGGCGAACAGTGGGGGAGCTGTGAGGGGCCTGATCCTTGTTGCGTGATAGTACAGCCCCAACTCCTTCCCTGCCATCCTCCCCAAGGCATGGGTGCCAAGCAAAATGCCTTTGTGTGTCACGCTCTGGCACATGTGCTGAGGATTGCTGACCTCTGTGCTAGAACAGGAGCGTTGTGTTGGAAATGCCAGGAAGATTATGTGCACTCTAATATTAATGCCGTCAGAAATGGATATCCATTTTTACCGATCCTAAAATTCAAGGAAACGTTAATGTTTTGACATTTTTTCCTCAAACCTCCATGTACATCTCCAACATAATTCATCTATTAGATTTTAGTTGGCTAAATTGCCCCTCTTACTTGCATATTGTCTTTTAGTTGTGACTAATTTTATTTTGTATTGACTGTCAGTTTTGCTTACATGTGTATACATTACAGAATGGTATGTGCCCCATTTGAGTTTGATAATGCAAGTCTGACTTTCACAAAATATTTCTTTCATCTGTAGTCCCATAAGACTTCATTTGCACAAGTCACTGTTGCTGCATTCGGGTCTGCATGACCAGTTCTGCCTTCTGTTACATGTACAATTCTATTACTTTGGCTGAGGATTAGTTGGGGGTCAAGAAAGTTTTTTTTTTCATATTGTGATAAAACAAGGATCAGTTTAAAAAGTGTTTGTCTGATGCTAAGTTCCTTAAGGTTACACCTGCAGTGTGAAACTATTGACAACTTAAGTTAATTTTAAGAGATAATAACTTCATAGTGTCATTAAAAAAATTAATATCAGACATATGTGACAGTCAATTCAGCTCTGGGAAGTGGGGGAATGATGTACTGCAGTGATGTAATAAAATATACATTTAAATAGACACTGCAGATCAAAAAAATTGAAGGAAAGATGAGCAGAGAGAGAGCTTCAGGAAACATAATCTTTTTCATATGGCTTAGTACAAAAATCAGTTATAATAGCTGTATCTACAAACAGAATTCAGAAGCAATTTTCACTTTGGGCTGTATTACTTCAACAATTTTATACATCTGAATAATTTTTTGTAGCAGAGAATGCTACTGTGGTGCATATGGAAAAAACGCCAAACCATTTTGTTGGAAGATGGTTGTTGTAAGTCTTGTATCATGACAGATTTGTTTGAAATATGCATTTTTTAATCAACTGACTTTCTATTGTGCCATTGCCTAAAGAAAGAATTTACTGCAGTGCCCCCTGCTGGTGAATGGCAGCTCACTGTTTCAGTAGTGTCAGTGATTGACTGAACCAAACCCATTGCTGACATAAAGCCAAGGGTGATGCTGAAGACTGCCAGTTCATTTTAAATCACATCATTAAAATAACAGAAGTATATATCAATATAAAACTACTGTTCACTGATTCTTCTTCATTTTTTAGACATGTGATGGTTTACTGCTGTTGAGTTTGGCTGGAAAAATAGGAACACTTCGAAAATAATATTTGTTTTTAAACCTCCCAAGGTTTTATTTGCCTGTCTCCTTCCTTTCAAATGAAAATTGTATTTCTAATTAGCAATTCAGGAAACGCTTTAAGGGCGTGAACTTTCTAAAACACTTTCCCTGTAATATTTTACTCACAAACACTTTTTTTTCAGAAGTGTGTTCAGTTTAATCATTATAAAAACACTAGTACAATATAAACCCATTATCTTTAGAATGTTCTGTCCATTAATAGAGGGTCATATCCTGTAGTCATCACATAAAATGCCCATTGATTTCCATGGGAATTTTTTCCTGATTTTACAAAGGAAGTCCCAGTGAGGGGAATAGAATATAAAGTTCCAGTCCTGCAAACGCATATTCATGTAAGTCCCTTTGGGACTACTCATGTACCTAAGTGTTTACCAGGTGCGGCTGAAGCTTGTAATATATAACTAGAAATGCATTTTCAGCACTTCTTAATTATTGTGATAAATGAGGAATTGTTAAATGCCATCAATATTGCTGCTTTATTGGTAAAGGAAAATTTAATTTTTCCATGTATCAGCAAATGCAGGTATTTTAATGTGTAATTTATCTTACTGTTGCTTTCTCAAGACAACAGTTCTTTATAATAAATGATTAATAGCATTTAAACAATAGCATCACCATTTTGCACAATGAAGAAGATAATGGAGTTTAGGAATATTTTTTTGATTCAGTAACAACACTGTCTTCATTGATAAAGGTAAGAATTATTACCTATATTGACCATTCTTTCCATAACCTGCTAGGGCAAGAGCAAGATTTAGACAAAACATGAAGGTGCCATTGATTGACTAGAACCAAACAGATCTTTACCAGTTCTATCTGTTGGAAATAGATTTTTAGTAATTAGATTCTAAAACCTCTTTTTCATTCTGAACATGGCAGAAGATAACAAAATAAAATAATTTCAAAAGCCATTTCTATCAGTTTTTAGAGAGTACTGCCTTGTCTTTATTCTTTTAAATTTTTCCAGTGGCAATTAATGAAACTTAATTTCCTTGTATTCGATAAATACATTGTTTCTAAGAAATTTTTATTACATATAGCTGGCTTTGTGAGTATTCGGTTAAAGTGCATAATAATAATGCTGTTTGCTATATTCTGATCTCATTGAGGTTAATTTGGATTAGCTCCACTGAAAATTGAGGAGTTATTCCTTTTGTATTCAGTGTAAATGTGACAAGAACTTGGCCCATAGTAGGTATATGCTATAGGAATCTACTTGAATAAACTACTGGGAACTTTAAAAATCCTTTCCAGCCTTTAAAAAAAAAAATCAATTGCACACGTTTTCAGCAGACCATGAATGAATCAACAAAGTTGGATAAGTAACCTTCAAGGACTGTTTGATTTACCAGCATGAGAGTCACTTTTACAAACTAGAATTAAATAACACTACTGTACTATAAATGGACAGAAAGGCAAGTACATTTGAAAGGATGAAATAAAACTTTGGAACCTGCATTCAGGCAGGTTTTTAATGAACATTTGGCATCTTTAATATTGACTTGTAACTTGTTATCACTAATAGTGTTTTAGCAGAGCTTCTTAGCCTTTCATGTCTAAAATATCAAGGTTCTTTCCTTTAATACAGAAAACATGGTCTCTCAGAAGTGACCCAGTCTCGTAGGGTAGGGGTAGGCAGCATTTTCAATCTGTAGGTTGGAATAACCCACCCTGGGTCAGAGGCCGATGTGTACTAGGATCTTGCTGCTGCCACCATTCATCCTCACAGTGTCATGGGGAGAGTGTCCACAGCCAGCACTTGTCCCCCACAAGGGCAACTGCAACTAAAGCCCCACATCCATGGGCAGTATCCAGTAATGATTCCATGGGCTGGATCTGGCCTTTGGGCCATAAATTGCCAATCCCTGCTGTAGGGGAATGCATGTACCATCTTCAACGGTAGTGTTTCAGGAACCACAAGGAAAATTTGCTTGGGGCCATCTGGCCAGATTGGTCTGGTCATGTGTTAATGTGGTGGCCTGTTATTGACTGTATAAAACAGGTGGATAACAGAAATATTAGCATAACTTTGAGATTTACTGGCAGAAATTATGTGTGAATTTTTCAAAAGCATGTAAACGCTATAGGATGTTAATGCCCATGGCTTCCAAGTTGTCTAGGCCATGAAGTAGTGTAGCTATGCCCATGTGCTGCTTTTACCAAGTTAATTAGTATGGCTGAGAGATGGTCCTGGATAGTCCGGTTAAGGAAGCAGTCTGCACACTAAGTTTACCAAGTGTATGCAGACACAGCCTTAGGCACTTTGGAAAATTTTACCCATAGACCATAATTCTTATACAGCTTTAATTACATATATAGGACTTAAAATAAGTACAAGTTGCTCCCTCTTTAAGCTGCCTTTAAAACTGGTAGAACAATATAAAGTAGATTAGTATAAGTGTGATATAAGATGTTGGAAGTTCTCTTTAATATTAAGCTTCATATTTTCTTTTGTAATATTGTATTAAATTTTGTACAATAAACATAAAATTATCAACTGCCCATTATCCAGAACTTTTATCTTGAAAGAGTGAAGGCAAAAATTATAGATTTTTCCTTCAGACTTTACAGATATCTGAAAAAAAGATTTGTTTCTTAATAAAATTTAGCGATATTTTATAAGTCAAATGTAAAGGTCACCTAATAAACTGATGAATTATCAACATAGCAGAAAGAGCAAGATGTATTTATTTCTTTGCTTATTCCAGTATTTTTTTCTGAATATGTTCCGTATCAGTCTTTTCTGGCATATTCTGAAATTTCATCCAAATCTTCGAGGGCTGCTATTTTTTTAAAACCATGCTTTACATGCACTTTTGCACTCTAAATAAGGATCTTGCAGGGCCCTTTGTGAAAGGAAAAGGCATTTTTTACATATTTAAAGTTTTGTATTTGTAACAATCACAGTGCTATTACCCTGAAAAATCATTGGATTTTTCTCTTGTGGGGGAAGCTAATTTTATTTTATTTTTGTTTCTTCCTTTAGCTAAAAAATTAGGAATTACAGATGTGCCAGCTGAGGTGGTTACCTTTATTTCCCATGCAACACAAAACAGATTAAGAACTGTGATAGAAAAAGTAACAATGATAACGCAGCACCGAATGGAGTCTCACAAAGTAAGTGTGTAGATATTGAATGTTTTAAGGGCGTGAATGCTGTTTAATTGCGTGTGTTGCGATTTCAGAAATAAATTCATCCTTCCCTTTCTAAGCTATCTGTAGGAGGAATGTCTGCACTGTTCATGCAAAACTGGTTTGATCAGACTCTTGCTATACTTAACTAATGGCAACTGGTAGGTGGTTGGCATTACTAGCCTAGCCTATCTACTTTTCCTGGTAAGTCACCCATAAACTGTTGCCTCAGCATGCTACGTTTGGACTTCTCTGGGATTTCCTCTCTATCCTGTAATGAATGGTCAAGGGGAATGTAATCTCCCTGGTCAGCTTCCTGCTGGGTCAGGCCAAGAAGGTGACTGAAAAGCTGCAGAAATCAGTTTGCATGGGTCAGCTCCAATGATGTCCCCCATCTCTTCCACTTCCTGGTCCAGTGCACATCACATTTGAATTTGGACTCTTCACCTGGCAACAAAATGTGGACCAGTTTGTCTTGGCCTGGGTCATGGAGGGAGGCCCTCTGCAAGGTGGAAGATGGACAGCTAGTGACAGCTGGTCCTATATGTGTAACCCGATGGGGGGAATGGGGAAAGGGGTTTCAATCTCTGGTGACATGGTATTCTTTTTTTTGCTAACCAGTGTTTCATGCTTGGCCCCTGGGAGGGCCACATACCTTTGCACTTCCACTGTTTGTTTTTAATATTTGTATAATAAAGTTTTAAAAGTCAAAAGTTTCTTTTTTTTCTCTGACACTCATCTTCAGCTCATTTCCTGCTTAGCCCCCTTGTTCAGCCTTCTTAGGTCAGTGCCTTTGATGGTTTTGTTCCATTTTATTCCATGTTCAGACATGGGAAAAATAAACCTTGCCTATCCTAGGTGGATGACTTAAGTCATCCAGGCATGACTCTCTCCCCAGTTAATAATTTCCTCAAGGAACTGGTTACTCTCCCTAGTGCTGCCTTATCTTTGCCATTATTTCACTTCATTTTGTTTACTTGCTAGCAGCCTTTTTTGATTTAATTTCTTTCTTCAGGAAGGAAAATATCAAGCAGATAAACTGAGGTGCAAATAATATGGATAATACTCTCATTCTTGTAACTCTCATAAAAAAAAATCCAACATTTTGCACCAGTTTAGCTATTGACTTGAGTCTTATTTTTTGTTGAGTACTGGCAGTGTGCAAATACTCTTTATATGGTGAGATCTTTTTTTTTTTTTAAACTTGGATCTGTTATAGCTAAACTGTAAATGTCTTTGTAAACTGGTAACGTTTCTCATGATGCATTTTAGTTAAATACAAGTACAGGAACTGAAATATAGAGCTAGGTTTAATTGTTTATCATTTAATCATAAAATTAAATATCCTGGTCTTTTGATCAGTAATTCCATTTTTATTAGTAATTTCATTTTTTTATTTCAGTGTAGTGGCATTGATTAATCAATCCATGTATTTTGTATTTAAAAATCTGTTTTGTTAATCAGGTAATTTTATCAATTATCTGTGTTGCTACAATATTAACCTTAGGCTGTTGTCTACAGTCTCTTGTATGCCATATGAATCAAAAATATGTTCTTACTTTATTAGCAGATTGGAAAGGTTTTAAGGAAAAGGATTTAAAACCCTGTGAAGATTTATTTTATTAAGATTTCATGCTTTTTTAAATAAAATATGTTTGTTTTTTTCCAGGATGACGAATGGTATGAGCAGGCTACAGATGTCCGATCACAGTTAAAGTTTTTTGAACAGTTGGAGCGTTTAGAAAAGCAAAGAAAAGATGAACAAGAGAGGGAAATCTTGTTAAAAGCTGCCAAGGTACCTCTGATCTACACAGTAGATTTTAATATTAGCTGTTTACATAAATAACAGTATTTATATTTCTAAATGTTGCATCACAAAAGATATATGTATATACATTGTGCCAAATTCACCAAAAAAAGAAAGACCATATAGGTGAGACAGCATAGTGTGAATTGGTGTATCCAAGAAGCAAAGGCAAATAGGGGAGAGAAGATTCACAGTTAAGGTGACCAACAGTGCTTCCAACTATACCCTAGGCTGAATATACCCCAGAGAGAGAAGCTAAGCTTCAGCTTACAGCAGGGCTGCACCATATGCAGTGGAAAATCAGAGTCACAGTATGTAAACAGGCTCAGCTACTCTGACCACACTTTTTGTTGCTGACATCTCCCTATATTCTGACCTACTGTAATCATTCCCTACCTTGCAAATGCAGATCAGTTGCTTTTCACATACCCTGCTATACAGTTTGGCTTTTAAAGAACCTTTGTCACCTCTTGTTACTGGTAAATATGACATATTAAGGGTTAATAGTGTATTCCAGATTTAAACTTGAGACTAGTTTTAATATTACTGCTATGATTATATAGTTATGTTTTCTATTTACACAGTACTTAAAACTTTCTACGGTAAAAGCTGTGTTAACCGGCACGAGTGGGGAATGGGGGTGCCAGGTATCTTAAAATTCTGGTTATCTGAGGCAGAGGTTTTCAACCTTTTTGAAAACCCTTGCGGAGTGGGGGCAGGGAGGGGACAGGGGGAAGGGAGTGGCTGCACGTGGAGTAGCGACACCACAGGGTGGTGGGTGGCTGCGTACAAGCTTCCCTCTCCCCACCCCCCTTGTGCCAAGCGCACATAATTCCATGGACACCAATGGAATTTTTGGTGGTTCAACATTTCTCAAAATTAAGCTTTTTCTGTATAAGGTCCTGAGATATACAGTACTCTTGCTGGGATTTGCAAGAGTATAAGATTAATTGTCCAGTTCCCTTTGAATGTCAGTGGGTGCATGTACACATATGCTTTACTGTACATTAGACTTATTTAATATGCAGTAAAGCATCACTGTCTACACGTACATGGTAATTATAACACAGTAGATTAAAGCTCTGTTTGCCGGTACCGACAGATACAGGTACTAGCCAATGACGCTTTGTATTAATGTGAGTGAATGCATGTGTAGATGCTGATCCAGGAGCAAATTGCTCCTGGACAGCCCAGGTAGCAGGGGGCTATAATTGCTGCTCAGCTTAGGGGTGGGACAAGAGCTGTCCCTGGCTCTGGGGGCAGGAACTTGAGGCTAGCCCCAAGCTCCGTGCCACTCAGTGCTGCCCCTGGAGCTGGGGACAGCTCCTGCCCTGTTCTCTGTAGTCCAGGCCTGACTCTCCATGCTCTCTGCCAGCCTGAGGCTGACCACTCCCCATACCCCTGCAAGCCCGAGGCTAAACCCCTTGCCCCCTGCCAGCCCGAGCCTGACCCCCGTACTCTGCCAGCCTAAGCCTGACCCGCTTTCCCCCTGCCAAACCAGGGGTGCTCCCTTTCCCCCTGCTGGCCTGGCACTGGCACAGAGGCAGCTGCAGCTGGAGCTCCCCCTGGCTGCTGCAGTGGAGAAGAACAGGGCAGGAGCAGCCCTGGACTAGGCTATTCCTGTCAGGCTCAATTTGCTTCTGACCTGAGCACATGTGTAGATGGGCATTCGCCTGCAGTTTAATGCAGCTGAATTTTGTGTGCAGAAAATTCAGGCACATTAATTGCATGTGTAGATGCACCCAGTGGGAGCTAGACTCTTCTCTGTGTGCAGCATTCAACATAGTGTAGTGTATCAGTGAGGGATTTTCCATTTTAATTCTCAATTCCCAAGAAATTTTGGTTCAGATAATTTCTAGAATTAATGTTCCAGGAACTTCTAAATACCTGCGTTAACTGATTGTGTTGTAATTTTTATATAACGAACACAATCTTCAGATATTCACAGATCTATAAGTATAGATTTTCTGGTTTACTTTGGAAACAGTTGTCTGTATTCTTGTGGTCTTCTACTGTATTTAGTATAAAGATTGTAAATTTTGGTATACGCAGTACAACAAAGTGGTCTCAAAGGAGCAGTCCTGCAGTGGAAAGGATACAGGGATAGATTAGATGACCTAATTAATCTTTCAGATTCTATTTAAAACTGGTGATCAGAAATAATCTACAAATAGGCTTATATAGTCTTTATTCTTCTAATGCAAATTATGCCTATAACTTTAATACTTAATATTTTTAAGTAATTAGTTGCAGTATGGACAAGAGGGGCAATATGGGACAATTTAGTGTCATATTTTAGATGTTAATTTTCCTAATTTTGTTGCCTTCACTTTCATAAATGAGGAAGGGACTTTATAATATACTTCTATATATTTCATAAACTAGTTCCCCAACTTAATTTTTTATTGATCTCAATGTAGAATCAACTCAGTCAAATGCTTTTTTGTCAGGTAAATATTTTTCTTGGATTGGTTGAAGCAGGCATTATATATTTGTTTCTCTTTCATTTGGATTGCCTTCTTGTTGATAAGGCCTAGTTATATTTAGGAAAGTTTTTTTCTGATGTTCTTGGCCATTGTTCGTTTTAAAAAGTGATATTCATATTAATAATTCCAAGTAGGATATGTAGTTGATCCAGTTGTTGCACTTTATCTTCTCTAATTTGTCTTGATAAGCTCCTTTTGGTTTAGTTGGAAATTAAAAGCCTGCAGGAAAGCCATAAAATAATACAGCCATGAGTCCTCTGAGCTTATCTTTACATTCTAAAAATACCAACAAAAAATGTTCTTGACCTAAAACCTGTCCTGACAGGAAGAGCTAATAGAAATGGTATATTTAGTTTTATTTTCATTTTTCTTAAGTTTTCATATTTTCAACCTGTGTTTCATTTTCTCTACTAATATAAAAAATAACAGATCCTTATAAAAATAACTGGCCAATATTAGGAAATAATTTTCCCTTAATTATTCTTTTGATGCAAGCCAAGAGGCATTTTTTATTTTCTATATCAGTTTCCAAAATATATCCTGACTTTGAATTTGTTCTATTACTATGGGACAGTTTAGTAAGCTGTAGCATTCAGCCTCCAGCAGATAGTGTCAGATCATCCTCCACCAGCCTATCTGTTCTACTGTCTGCATGGTTTAACTATGAGCTTTGTCTATCTTGCGTCTTCTCAGGTTTTGTTGTCATAAGTTATTAAATGTGCCTTGTTACGTGTGTGAGGAAACTATAAAATCAAACGTTGGGTTTAACAGCAAAGTTAAAAACTTTCTTAGAGAACAAACTTTCTGCACAGTCTCAAACTATTCCTTTCATGGCAGGTTTTTTCCCTCTGTCTCTTACATAGGATTATGCTTTATTTCTTTTATTCAAAGAATGGATCCACTTTTAGGTTCTCTTACTGTGTAATTTGTATTTGTTACAAGGAAGAATTTAAGCAACCATCTTTATTTTTCTTCCCTTACCTTTCTTTACCGAAACTTTATTTTGTTGGGTTTTCTCATATACCTTTTTGTTACCTTTTCTTTGGGTATTTTAGTGTCCCTCTTTTATATAATCAGTTTGAGGTTCCTCAGAATGTTATGTAGGTATTTATATACTAAACATGTTTATTAATGTTCTTTATTTATTCTACTATATATATATATAGAGGCCACCAGCACATTCACAGTGACACACTCTTT